CTAGCAGTGTCCTCAAGTTGGGTCTGTCCAATAAACTTGTTCACTAACAAGCATCTATGTTATTAACTTGATATCTATATACCCATGACTAGTAGAATATAGTCATCACTTAAGAAAAGAACTAAACTAAACAGAGCTTAGAAGTGTATAGGAATTAATGGTAATCAAATGGGAAGGAAAAGAGGTGTATTTATAGGTGTTTGGAGGTGGCAGGGTCATTTACCCGACCAGGTATTTGAGATACCCGATCGGGTATCCTGAGAAATTGCCCTGAAGCTTCATTAGTCACATAATACCCGACCGGGTAAATGATTTAATTACCCGATCAGGTAAAAGACAAATCTTTGTCAAATCTTCTCCCTGCACGTCTGGTTGCCTCCAAATCAGATTTGATCTTCGGGTCAAGTCAATATCTGATCGGGTATATGCTTTACCCGACCGGGTATTTCAATATTTTCCCACATCTTCACTTTATCTTGTTCCCTTGCACTTTCCTTGACCTTCCAAAGATCCTTTTGATGATCTTTACGTAGTTAGAGTCCAGAATAATCCTAATCTAAACAAATTACTAACCAATAGGAAAAATAAAGTATTACACCAAAAGTGTGTAATTTCCCAAACAACAACAAATAAAGCTAGTTAAAATTACAAACATAAACAATAACAATTCTACACTATCAGACACGTACTTAATTAGCTACTAAACATCATATTCAGGGGCTAAATATTAATAAAGAAAACTCATAATAATAATTAACATAAAATGAGTTTGTGACTTTATTAATTAATGAGTATTAAATATTCATTGATAAATCATAAACTATGATAAGATTGTCCTAGGGCATATTTCCAACACGATGATAGATTGGTGTACTTCTACAAAAAAGATCTTGCACTAATAACATGATTCAAGATGGGAGGTGCAAATTTTGTGATATCCATATAGTCTAAAGGCGATATATAGAAGAAAAAATCAACTCAACGAATAACATGCCAAGGGCGGACATAAAAAGGGGTTTTCAAGAGTTTGATAATATAATGGTGGATAGGCAGCCTTTGGATATGATAAAGTTGACAATTGTGCATTTAATTGCTAATTTCCATATTGGGAATCAAACAGGCTAGTGTAAAATGCCCAGAAAAGTACATCAACATGGTCGAAAACCTTGATCTGGTGAATCAATACCCATGGGAAGATCAAATATGGGAAGATCTGCTTGAAAAAATTCCTACATGGACACAGAATATTAAAAGGTCAAAAAAGTCTAGATATGGATTTTCAGAATTTACTTTTGTGTTGCAAATATGGGCGCTTGAAAGTTTTTCAGCACTTAGGAGGACAAATGTGTGTACTATTGAAAAAGAAAGAAAGTGAATCTAGTCAAGACTTCTCAAAAGGTGAGTACGTAAAAGAAAACTAGTGTCACAAGTCACAACACCTACTGACCACATATTTGACAAGAAAGAGGCAATGTTTATAAATTAATCTACTGCTACATAATAAGTATATTAATATTTTAATTGATAATTTTTTAATTTATACTATGACAATTCTTTTTTATTGGGACTATAGCAAATTAGCAATAACGGATCTCTAAAACAAGCGAAAAAGCGAAATTGCGTGGTTTTAAAGATAAAGGAAAAGAAACAAAAACTAACGTAAGGAAGCATAGATTCGGTGCTTCTAAATTTGTATTACCATCACACACATGATTCAAAAACTTTACAAAATTTTTATGAGTTTTTCTCTAAATATTACTGAAATGAAACTTATTTACAAAAATATGATGAACAGTTACTACAGTGCAATCTTATAGTCACTTAATTAAGTATAAAAACTAAACATAAGTTATTATGACTAAGTTACTACTATAATTACTAATCACATTTTTTAGACTACATTTATTTTAGTCATATATGTAATTATTTCTATTTTTTATTATTGACATACAATTTAAGTATTGGTGGTATTTTTATTTCAATCAATTACTCCAATATGATTTATTTTGTGAAAATATAAATGTCACTCACTAATATGACAGGGTTTTAATTTTCGTCTAGGGCACCAAAATTTCCAAAGAAGGCCCTGTTAGCGGGTCTCAAAGAATTATCATAGTATAAATTAAACAATTATCAAGAATGTGCGCGTTGAAGTGTAGATTATGCCTACCAAATTCAAGCTTAAACTTTAATCAGGTAGTCTGTTCAATAAATATTTGAAAAGGGAAATTATCATTGACCTCCCTTGAGGTTTCACGTATTATCACTTAGACCTCGCACTTTTAAAAATATACGCTTACCCCCTTCCAGTCCTTTAATGAAGTTTAATAACTCTTAAGTACGTTTAGCAAAAGTATAAATTAAGTTTTATAAATTTAATCACTTGCATATTTAATCTAATAATTAATAAAGTTACATGTATTAAGAATTTTTCCCCCAGAAAGTACTTTTTTTGCAGGAACGCGTACGTTCCGATGAAATAGCTCTTATTATTGACAAATTTATCATGTACATAACTACATCTACATCCCTGAGTAAAATTATAGGACTAGTAGCAGACACAATCGAAAGGTACGAACATAAAATAATAAATCTCTATTATTTTTAAAAGTTCAAAAATATATCTTAGATTGTAGAAATCTTGGTGAAACTTTTTTAACGAGGGAAAAATGCCCAATAATGAGGAATGTTATTTTATACCTAAAACATTTGTTGGTGAAGGACTTTTAGGAGAATATTGTTACCTATTCTAAATTCGAATGGAGAATACCTACTTTTGTGGTTCATATTAGGGGAGGACAAGGCCCAATCTCACGAATGACTGATTTTTAAATTAAGAATTTAGGTCGACACCGAGACCAGGCCGGTGAAAAATAGGCCTCAGGCCTCACTTTTTGGGATCGGGATTGGAGCCCATTTGACCTCATTTATCTTTTTCATTAAAATCATTGAGAACATTTTAAAATGGGTTATAGCCCATTTAAAAGTTGAGAAATAGGTAGTTAAAATATTTGAATTATCAGGAGCGAACCTAGCTTGACCAATTACGAGATTGGAACTGAAGATAAGGTCATGGGCCGCCTTAATTATTTAGCACTAACCAGTTTGGAGGTGGAACCTCTCCTAAAATATAATTTCTTTACTAGTTTTTTACATGTAAACATGTTCATATTTTGTTAACTATTAATTTACAAGTTATTATTACACCTATAATGATCTCATTTCCAGTGATAACAAAGAGTGTCTACAGTGCAAATTGGGAATTTTCTTGCATTCAATTTTTAATGGTAAAATCGAGTAGTAAACTTCACTTTTGAGTGGGTTTGGTTCATTTAAGTTGGTTTGTTTCAATTTTTGACAAATTTAGCATATTTTGATCATATTCAATTGAGAAAATTTACTCACTTTACAAATTCCCAAAGTGAAATCAATTCTGGTCTTTTTTTATTTTGTTCGACTTCTGATAAAAATATATCTTTACTATGGACAAATTTATTAATTACCCGACCAGATTTGTGATTGAATAAAATTATAGTATTAAAAGCGGACATAATGAAAAATTATGAAATTATATCTATATTTATCTCTAAATATAGATTAAGAGTTATTTAACCATCATTAAAGGATAGAGAGGGGGGTAAGATTATATTTTTTATAGTACAGGGGTGTGATTGATAATGCATCAAACCTCAAAAGATGTCAATGATAATTTCCCATTTGAAAATTGCGCTGTATATATATATGTATGTATATATATATACATATATATACATATATATATATATATATATATATGTATATATATATATATATATATATATGTATATATATATATATATGTATATATATATGACTGACTTCTCAGTTGAATCTTAATCTGAAATTTGTTGAACATAATCTACACTTCATGAAGAACGTGCTCACAAAATTTCATCAAAAACTTCGAGCTGGTAGCACCTCAAATGAAAGAGGCCTAAAAATTATAACTTTTTATGGGTTAGGTTCGGTACAAACTGTGTTTATTGTGCAAACATTTGTATGATGCATCTGATCTTTACGCTATTTGTATTACATATTGAGGTTCAAAGTGTAGCATACTATCGTGCAATGAAATAGCAATTGCATATTAACGTTCATAGAGTTGAAGTTGGGCAACTTCATATAAAAAATGTAGTCTTTTCAAAAATTTATTTAACAGGCTGTCAATTTTAAATTGAAATTCGGTAGATATATAATTTATCCTTTGTAGAGAACATGTTCACAAGATTTCATCAAAAAAATCGGTCAGGAAGCCTCTCAAATGAAAGAAAGAAGCTAAGGGCCTGTTTGGATGGAGTGTTTGAAAGTGTTAGTAATGGAAGTGTTAGTAAGGGTCCTGGAGGGAATTGAAGTATAAGTGTTAGACATAATTTTACCTTGTTTGGGAGAGTCAAATGAATAAAGTGTTAATAATGGAAGTGTTAATAATTTTATCTTGAGACAAAAGAAACGAGTAAGGAGAAGAGATGAAAAAGGCAGACCATCAGACCTACGGGAAAGAGATTCGAAGTGAGATGTCGAAGCATTTTATGTTTTAGGGTAAATGAGAAGGATAATTATTGTCCAACACTTCAAAACACTCCAAATTGGGGTGTTGAAAAAGTGGGCAATTGGGGTGTTGAAGGTTATTATCAACACTTCCTAACCTTTACTAACACTTCTTAACACCTCTTAATTTTTCTCCCAAACAAGTGTTAGTATTAACACTTACTAACACTTCCATTACTAACACTCCCCAACACTCGATCCCGTAAGAGTTTGTGAAACTTTAATTTTGAGAGGGAGGTGATGAGAAGAATGTACGTGGGTAGGTAAAAAGCTTCGCTCGTTAAATTGCCTTGGGGTTCGATCGGTGCTTTGAAAACAAGGAAAAGAAAAGTTAACGCGGCATTGAGAAATGTAATTACCAATACCTACATTTAATTGCCTTGCAGCGTACGTAGCATAAAGTCGGGATCTTGCTTATTACTGTAATTATTGCCTTTAATAAGGTACAGTATTATAAACTATCGTTTATAGTGAGCAATAATATAATGTATAGAAATAAAAAAGCTGGCCGGGATCGGGCCAATATAATAATGGGGATGATCGATGTGAATTCATGTGATTGAGCAATATGTATGGATGTACTTGGTTCGCATAGGAAATTGATCAAATGAAATGAGCATGATGATGAAGAAGAAGTCAAAGGAGAATGGTCATAAATGTGAGTTGGCTGAAGTGCGGCAGCGCGCCACATACGTAGCAGAAGCAAGTTGCGGGTGCTGCGTACTGTGTACGGCCATTTGCTTCGCCTTGGTGGTGCCCATCTTCCTAGCCTCCTTACCCTCCTACTCCGTCAACTACATCCACTTGCCTGCGCCACCACCCGCCGCCGCCCCCGCCCTAAACAGGACCACAGGCGTCGTCATCATAGGTAATAACAATAACAATAATAATAACAACAGCCGCCGTCTCTTCTTCTCTCTCCGCCTCCACAACAAGATGAAGCTGATGAGTGTTAAGTACGACGATCTTCAGCTCAGCTTCTTCTTCGGCGGCATGCCCATAGGCAACGCCACGCTGCCTGGTTTTGAGCAGCCTCGTGGGCACACCACTTCTAAAGCCGGGACGGTGTACGTAGTTGATCCGCCGCAGGGACCAGTGTTGCTGGAGGCTGCAGCAGAGGCGGCGGTCGTTCTCCGGGTGGATTTGGTTACTGTGGTAAGGTACAAGTCATTGTTCTGGTACGGGAAAAGGCGCCCTTTCACCGTCTCAAATACTGCCATCCTCCCCCCCATAAATTGATTGCTCAACCAGAGAGATGGATAGATATATTGCCACCGGCCGGCCGGAATTAAGGTCGGCGATCCATGCCCCATCACATATCTCAAGCCTCCTCTTTAGTGGTTAAATGCATAAACGGCACTTCAAACATTTGTATTGTTGCGTTTTGATACCTTAACTCTTAAATTAATCAAATTAGTATAACTATACATAAATGTTTCAACTTGTAGTAGAAAAAATTCTTCATGTCGATCAAAATTTCATGTGTAGAGTCACTCATACTGATTATATAGACGAAAATCAAGTGAAGTAGACTTTGATCATAAAATTTCGACCGTCACGTGTGACTTTTTGGCCGCAAATTTAAATAAAATCTCAAATTAAAACATTTTTCTATAGTTAAGGTGATTCTCGCAATGTCTCTTCTTTCACACAGTAAGTGATACAATCCAGGTCATTCACAAGAATGTAGAAAGAAATGACGAGAATTGTACCTCTGCTATGCAATAGAGAAGAGAAGACGGGGAATTTGGGGAGAAGAATATGATTGGAATTTCATTAGCTGATTGTAAACTGAACTGTACAACCGTATATATCTAGTTCAAGTCCTTCTACGCAGCTAGTTAACTAATCTAACTACTTAGACACGTGTCATACACTTATTATTCCAGATACAACTGTATTACAAATGAACTAAATCAGTTAAACTGAATTGAGCTGAGCTGCCATCTGCCATGTACTGCATCAATACTCCCTCCTTCAGCATTGACTTGCCCTCAAGTCATGCTATACTAAAAGGCAGGATATAAGGTTTTGATGGAATCAGACCATTCCCAAGTTGCATCTTCCCTTCTTTGGTCTTCCCATTGAATCAGAAACTTGATTCTAGCTGCCTCACCATGTTTTACTAACTGTCTATCCAAAATAGCTACAGGTTTCACCACAGTCTTTTCAGATAACCCATGTAACCATTCTGGAATATAGGGTTTGGCTGGTAATTGACCTCTGAACTCTTTCAATTGGGATACCTGAAAAGTATTATGTGTCTTTGCTTCAGCTGGTAATATTAATTGATATGCTACCTTTCCTACCACTTTGCCAACTTGAAAAGGACCATAAAACTTTGGAGACAACTTGTCATTCGTCCTGTGTTCCACCGAATGTTGTCTATAAGATTGCAGCTTTAACCAAACCCAATCTCCCAGCTCAAACTTTCTTTCAGACCTGTGTTTATCAGCTTGGACCTTCATCCTATTCTGTGCTTTTGCCAAATGAGATTTCAGTATCTTAATCATGGCCTCCCTTTGTTGCAATGACCTGTCAACTGTCTCTACATTAGTTTCTCCAGCCAGGTAAGGTAAATGCAGAGGTGGAGGCTGATTGTACACAGCTTGATAAGGAGTAATATGAATAGAAGAGTGAAATGATGTATTATACCACCCTTAGCTAGGGGTATCCATTTACACCACTCGGCTTCTCACTGCACATGCATCTTAGGTAATTCTCCAAACATCTATTCACCACTTCTGTTTGGCCATCAGTTTGTGGATGAAAAGAAGTAGACAGTAACAAATCTACCCCTTGTATACTGAATAGAGCAGTCTAGAATGTGCTAAGAAAAATAGAGCCTCTGTCACTAACAATAGTCCTAGGCCACCCATGTAACTTAAACACATTATCAAGGTAAATTTGAGCTACTTCAATGGCTGAAAAAGGGTGTTTAAGGGTCATAAAGTGAGCATACTTACTCATTCTGTCTACCACTACAAAGATAACATCTTTGCCACAAGATTTAGGTAATCCCTCAATGAAATCCATTGATACATCCATCCATACATCTTGGGGAATAGGAAGGGGCTGCAATTTACCAGGATATGCTGCATTATCATACTTACATGATTGACACACTGTGCAGACCCTTATGAAAGCTTGGACACTTTTGTTGATTCCTTTCCAAAAGAATATCTGGCGAATTCTTTGGACAGTAGCATCTCTGCCTGAGTGACCCCCATAGGTGAACTATGTGCCCATTGTAATATCTTCTCTTTGACCCCCTCATCTTTGCCTACTACAATCTTCCCTTTTTTCTTATCACATCATCCACCAATGTGTAAGTACCATCTTCCAGATTAGGACTAGCTCTTATCCTAACCAGCAACTGTTGTATTCCCTCATCTGTTTCATAACTTGTTTTAATCAGGTCCAAAAGATCTGAACTGATAGTTGACAAGGCTAGGCATAATAGTTCAACTCCTGTCACTCTAGAAAGAGCATCAGCCACCTTATTTTCTATCCACTTTTATATTGGATTTCATACCTAAAGCCCATCAATTTGGATAACCAAAATTGTTGAAATGGGGTAGAAATCATTTGTTCTAATAACCATTTCAAACTCTTTTGGTCAGTTTTGATGATAAATGTCTGACCAAACAAGTACTGCTCCTACTTTTGCACTGCAAACACCAAGGCCAAAAGTTCTTTCTCATAGACTGACAACTTCTGCCATTTAGTTCCCAGAGACCTGCTAATGAAAGCCAATGGGTGTCCCTCCTGCATCAACACTGCTCCTATACCATTATTAGAGGCATCAGTCTCTACTATAAACTGTTTTTCAAAATTGGGCAAGGCTAAGACTGGAGCAGTTGTCAAAGCCTCTTTGAGTTTCTCAAATGCCTCAGTAGCTCCTTTGGTCCACTGAAAAGCACCCTTTTTTAGTAGATCAGTTAGGGGTTTGGTAATCAAAGCATAGCCTTTGATGAACTTCCTATAATACCCAGACAGTCCAAGAAAGCTTCTGAGCTGCTTCAAAGAGGTTGGAACAGACCAGTTTCTTATAGATTCAATTTTCCTTGGATCAGTTTCCACCCCCTGACCAGATGTATAATGCCCCAGATACTCCACCTTTTTTATTCCAAAGGCACACTTACTCATCTTGGCATATAACTGATGTTGTCTCAATACTTCAAAAACCTGCTGCAATTGAATCTTATGTTGTTCCCCATTAGGACTGTAGATTAGGATGTCATCAAAGAATATTAACACAAATTTCCTCAAAAAATCTTTGAAGATATAATTCATGAAAGCTTGAAATGTAGCACGTGCATTGGTCAATCCAAAAGGCATGACCAAAAATTCAAAGTGTCCACAGTGAGTCTTAAAAGCTATCTTATACACATCTTCTTCATGTACTCTCAATTGGTCGTAACCAGCTCTCAGATCAATTTTTGAGAATATCTGTGATCCTGCCAATTCATCAATGAGTTCATCCACCACTGGTATTGGAAATTTGTCTTTTATGGTCTGATTATTGAGAGCCCTATAATCAGTACACATCCTCCAGTCCCCATCTTTCCTTCCTACTAAAACCACAGGTGAAGCATATGGTGACGCACTAGGTTGAATGGCATCTTTATTTAACAATTCTTTAATCTTCTCTTCAATTATATCCTTTTGTTTCAAAGGATATCTATAGGGTCTCACATTCACTGGTTGTGAACCCTCTTTTATAGGTATTCTATGATCAAAGATACCCCTACTAGGTGGCATCCCCTGAGGTTCTTTGAAAATGTCTGCATATTGATCAATCAATCTCTGCAAATCTACTGGTATATCCTCCATTTCTAAATTATGCACCACATTCACCCCAAACTGTTTCTCCACTTGTCTTTCATTGCTTATTACTTCTTGATGCTGACATTGAATCAAATACAGTTGATTTATCTGGCTGATCTGTTTCTGTGTACCCTGCATAGTGTTGATTTCCTTTTTCTTTTGCCCTCTTAGCACTACTTGCTGCCCTTTGTATTTAAACTTCATACATAACTCCTGAAAATTCCAATTGATTTCCCCAAGAGTGCTCAACCATTGTACACCTAGCACCATATCATAACCTCCCCCAAAGGAAGCACCAGTATATCTCCATAGAAGTAAGTGTTTTGCATCTTCCAAGTAAAACCTTTACAAATATAGTTACACTCTGTCTGTGACCCATCTGCTACAGCCACTGACATGGTATCTATCTTATCCAGCTTACAACCCAATTTTCTGGCCATATTTAAACTGAGGAAGTTGTGGGTACTTCCTGAATCTACCAGTATTAACAGCTTTCTTTTATCAACATACCCATTAAGCCTCATTGTTTTGTAATCCACTTAACCATTCATAGCATGGAAAGATATCAAAGCTTCCTCCTTCTGAATGCTAAATTCACTGATGCTTCCAAGTAATTGTCCTTCCTCACAATTACTCTCTTCCACCTCTCCTGTATCTCCCTTAATTTCAACCAAAAACAACTGGGTACCTTTGTGGTTACACACATGGTCTTTAGTATAAGGTTGGTCACAATAGTAACATAAACCCCTAGCTCTCTTCTCAGCTCTGTCAACAGCAGATACAAATTTTCTTGGGGTGGGCACAATGGCAGATTTGGTTATGTTACTAGGCAACTTAGCACTTTGCACTGGTGTAGGTAGAACAGGCTTGGACACCCCCATTTTCTGTGAACTCCCAGCTTTAACCTGTGTAGTTATGGCCTCTACTGTGTCATCCTGCAATCTTGCAAATACTATGGCTTCTGCCATGGTCTGGGGATTAAAAGCCATGACAAATGATTTGAGTGTTGGTTTGAGAGCAGCCAAGAAACAATCCAGAAAATAGTTTGGTGGCAGTTTAGGGTTTCTATGTAACATAGCAGCCTTAAGGGATTCAAACTCATAAATAAAATTTTCCAATGATCCCACTTGCTTCAGGTTGTTAAATCTTTCAACTATCTTATTGTTCACATTATCATTGAACCTGGCAGTCAAATCACTTGTGAACTGTTTCCACTTCAGTTTCTTCTTGGATGTTACATAATTCCCAAACCAACTAGCAGCCCTCCCTTCTAGATATAATGAAGCTAGATTAACTCTTTGGTTATCAGGAATATTACAAAGCTTGAAATACCTGTCGCATTTCTGAAGCCACAACTTTGCATTTTGCCCTTCAAACGTAGGAAATTCAACCTTAGGACTGAACCGAAAAGTATGATTACCAGCTTGAGAGGATTTGTTACTGACACCTTCTCCTTCCTCTTCTGATGACGTTTCTTCTTCATCATCATCTGTGTGATCATCTCCCGACTCTTCGTCGTCCACAACCT